TCCAGTGAAGGCATTGGACTGGGAGTAAGGAACTCGGGGTTCCATTCCCAGTGCTGCCATAGGATGGGCAAGCCACTTCACCTTTTTGTACCTCAGTTTCCTAATCTGTAAAATGGGGATAATGCCTGCCTACTTCATAATGATATGAAGAAAAACTCATTAACATACACGAGGTGCTCGGACACTAGACTGAAGTGCCAGAGAAAAGTCTATTAAATAACAAAATTCTAGCAAATGGTGGCAAACATGGACATCTTCTCTACAAATTGTGAATGGCACCGAGATGAGAACATGGAAGATGAACTGGAGGCAGAAAAGGCATTCATGTATCAGGAAATGCTTACTATACTAGCAATTTCCAATATGTTTTTTAAAGTGGTGTCCCACAAATTTTGGTATTTTTATTAGCAGAAGAAATACTAGTATAGTAACAATGACATAAATACAGATTTTATATGTTTCCTCCAAACTAATTTCAATATTAATGGAAATAATAATACAACGAACAAAATACAACTACAAAAGATGGCATCACTAGAAATTAGATATAGCCTGCTACAGTATACCATATAGCTAGTGTCAAAATTGGGCATAAAAGAAGATATAGATTCAATGGAATAGGAAATTTATATTGTTCTTCCAATTAAATAGTGTGCCCATGTAAAAGTTAACACTAACAAGCCTCTGCTCAGAGTATGTAATTTAGGTGAAGGTAAAGTTTGACAAGTTAAATCCTAGATATGAGCAAAATTTGCCACTGGCATAAGTGGGTGTGTAACTTCATTGATATCAACATTTGTCTGTGTTATGATGTATAACAGACTCCCTGATTCTCTCTCTCTCTCTCTCTCTCTCTCTTTGGGGTGTATTAAAAGAGCTCTTCTTTAGAGCTAGATCAAGTAGGAGAACAGTGATCATGATGGGGAGCAGAAAAGGTCCCTCTGCTGCCTCTGAAATGGAGCAACTATGCACCCAGTGCTGAGATATAGGGGCAAATTTTCAACAGAGCTCAGATTTTTCAGGGCTCAAATCTCATTTAGGCACCTAAATAAGGGCCAGCTTTTCAATCCTGCTGAACTCTTTAGAAAAGCTGGCCACTTACTTTGGTGCTTAAATGGGAGCTGAGCTGTTCTGGAAAAGTCTGACCTGAAGGTACAGTCTAGTTGAGGTTGTTACTGGTTAAGCAATTCCAAAAAACTGCTCTCCTGGATCTTTCTATTTGGTATTAATCAATACACAAAAGCACATCATGCTACCACATGGTCACCTTTTATGTGTGTGTGTATGCACAAGTAACTCTGTGTATATACACTCTCAAACACGATACAAACATTTCATCTCTCCTAACATCTGAGAAACTAATTGGAACATGAATATTTTGGAAAATGTTCACAGTTATTTTTCTATGTGAGTAAACAAAGTGCTCATTGGTGCCAGATTGTTTCCACTGAGCAGTGTACAGTTGAACACAGGGAATTTTCTTGCAGTCATTTTGAGGTACCTGTCCGTCTTTATGTGTGCTTGGAAGGAAGGAAGGAAGGAAGGAAGGAAGGAAGGGAACAGTGATATCGATAGGACAACCATTAATAGTAAGTCTCTTCTCTGGTATTAAAGCATAAAGAGTGCATTAATTATTATTGAATCAAGCCAGATGTTGAAAACTAAGCTGTTAATTTAGATGAATGTCATATCAAGCACTGCAGGTCAAAAAAGAATTACTGAAATCATGACTGTAAACATGCTGAACTGTGTGTACAAAATGTGAAAACATTTATGCTGTTATGTAGATAAACTATAGACTCTTCCCAGACTTTATATGCATTCTGTTCTTACCAATACTTATAAAAGATTGTTCTTTAAATGAGGAGTACAGACATAGTATGATGTCTAGGGAATTGTAGAAGCAGAACTATAATGGTCATTCAAAAGTGAAAACTTGCTAATAGTTACCACACAGCACTACCTGAAATATAAAATTTTCCCTCTGCTCTTAGTATAGGAAATAATGGTGGTATCTTAGATACCATTCTACAGAAACTGTTGGAAAATGGTGAAATTTTAATGGTATCAATGGCATATACTGTAGGAGAATTTAAGATTGAAAGATTTGGTATTTTATGACACTTAGATTTGTCAATCCACACAAATAGCTTGTGGTATTTACTAAAAACAGAATCCAATCAAGGTTAAGGCAATCCAAAATTTGTTTTCTGCTTCTGAATACCAGCAATGAAAATGGTATGATGTTGAATCATAAATCACTAAATACAGATACTGTGTCAGAAACCCCTTATTGTCTATTATTTACATTAGAGTTAACCTGGGATTCTTTTTAGACAAGATAGATGAGCCAAAAACATATGAAATCTGTAAGATTCCTTGTGGTACTTGATCTTTTTTCCCTACAGATATATAATATGAGTCCATTAATGTTAAGTTGGGAGAATAAATATCTGAATAACACTAGAATTGCTTGAAGAAAGAAGAGGTGATAACAACAAAATGTATTTAAAACCAAATTATTAAATGATTATTCTTAGAATTGCATTTCACTCTAGGATATCTATTATAGTTGCATTTACACTAATCAAGGTCATGGTTACGTAACACTGAACTACTCTATTTTGTCTAGGAAAAAGCTTATACTGTACTTTTAGTAGAATTTGCAATCGAAACACTAAGGGTTTGATTTTCTGTAATGACTTGTAATTTTGTAAGTGCAATTCACACCTACAAATTAGTGTGATAGCAATTGGTAGAAGTTTGACATCTAACTACCTGAGTTGCATGTGCAACCTACTAAAACTAGAGATTGGTTTGACCTTTTCCTGAAAATGATACCGAAGAATCCAATCCTGAATTCCTGCTCAGATAAAACTCCTGCTTATGTCAATGTGTGTTTTCTTAAGTAAAAAGTTCAGTGGGACTACCTATGCTAAAGAGCTTCTAGGATCAAGATTCGGGCCCTTAGTAACTAAAATGTAACTAACAATATAAATACCGTTAACACAAAGCCAAGTTGGTATTAGGTAGCTGATATGCATTTTAAATCCTTTTCACAATAGTTTAGTTTCAAGTCAGCATATAATTTTATTAAAATATGGAGAGGAAATGATTTCATTTTAACTTGCTTTGAAGTTACACTGCACTATATTTGTTCACATTACCCTGGATGTAATTCCCATTGAAGTTGATGGGAATTGGAGTAACTTAAGCTACAGATGAATTTGGTCCACTATATGTAGCATGTATAACTAAACTTTTTGGATGATATCTTATGCAGTTATCCATCATGTCTTTTTTATTGAATAACCTATAGAAATGTTTCTTAACCAAACAGGCTAAGAATTATAAAATAGCAAAAATAAATAAAATAATAAAACTTCTCAATTTAGACCCCTAAATGACCATAATTTTGGTGTTTTGCACCTGGAATATAATCTTGGGGGAAACCTTTCCCATAGCTATGAAGTGTTTTGAACTCAATATTCAGCTTGCTCTAAAATAAATCATCTTCCAAAAAGAGACTTTGACCATTGAATGGCATACCAGAACCATTCTGTGTAGGGTAAATAAAAAGGACACATACAAATTAAGAAGATTCAATAAGGGGATGGAGGATATTATATAAAGAAACAAATGGTGTTTTGGTTTTGCATTTTTTGAATTATATTTCCAATTAAAAATGCTAAATAACATTACAAAGACAAATAGGAAATTACAACTTCATTGTTGAAAACAATTTCCCTCCTATCAGTCTGAGGATTCATGCATCAATATTGTAGATGAACTGTTAATTACAAAATCAATTAAAAAATTATTTCTAAAAACAGTCACGCGTCCTGACTCTCAGGGGGGCAATTTGGGCAGAAGGTCTCATCTCACTAGGACCGCGCCAAATCACAAGTCGTCATCCACAAGTAAGCAAAAGCAATCTGGTTTTTCATTTTTCAGCGCGGCTGAGCCCAGCCTGAGATTGATCGTCACATATGGCCCCAGAAAACAAACTGTCAATACCTTGAATGCTGCAGAATTTGAACAAATAGCCGTCCGCCCATTCAAGCCACTCATTGCATCCCATTTAACAGATTTTATTGACAGTTTCCTTCTTGTAATTAAAGGGAAAACTACTGGCCAGCAACCAAGATAAAGTTCAAAGATAGGGTCAAAACAAAAGCAGATGGAGGGGCACGGTGTGACTGTCAATGGTACATAGCATCAGAGCACGTTATTGACACACAGGTATCTAATGATCGGCACGTCATTAAAGAGGGATCTATCCTGAACTTTATGCAAATGATAGAAGGGACTTAAGACCATAATAAAGCATTAGGGAGACAAAAGGAAAAACAACAAAGCACAAACGATTTTTACTTATCAGACACTGTTCACTGCTTCAGCACTTTTACATTCAAATTTAGAGAAAAAAATACTTTCTGCAATTCTTAACCCCTTCTTCACAGGTAATATCTTTTAGTGAAACTTTACTAGAATAATAGAGGATTCATATGGTAAAGTGTAGCCCTTGTACGATGAGAATGGGAATTTCCCCCCTGCAACCAACTCTGGGTTCACCTTACCAATACATTTAATAGCTGTATTCAAGGAAATCATATAATGCATATAGTCATGCATCCATCCATTCTACTCAGTTTAAGTGAAATGATTAGTCTTATCTGGATTATGAAATGGATTTAGTAGAATAAACGTCTATATTCATTTGAAAGGATCTCTGCTTGTGTAATACCTTCCAAATTATCCAGTGTATTATTCTTTACTGCATTAGGAATATATTCCACAATGGTTTAAAACCGTAAAGAACTTCCTTAATTTGAACTACCTTGTTTATAGCCTTTCCGTATAAGAGCCACAAAAACTGAAGGTCCAATTAAGAATTACTTATTCCTAAACATTGTTTAGAACAACCATGCAGAAGATACTATGGGAAGGAAAAAAGTGATGTGAAAAAAATGTAGCAACCATCATGACAAACTGCCAACCTGAATTAGCAAGCGCTATAGCTTTGAGGGTCACAAACTCTTCTTTCTCCAACTTCATGCTCTTGTATTTCTTTACCAGCTGCAGGATGGCATTGTTGAGGTCAAGAAGGCCTGCTAATTTGGACTGGTCTTCATCCATAATATAATCTTCAGCATAGACAAGCTCATCCTCAAAAGAAAGTGATCGGTACACTACGCCCAGGATCAAAATCTCCATCCAAGCACTCTGCAGAAGGCTCATCTGGTCAGCCAGAGACAAAGTGGAGAATCCTAAACAGCAAAGAAGGGCAGGGGAAAAATATTAAATAGGTTCAAATGCACCATAACTCTGCATTACAACTTTCCCTTTTTGTTTTGTTTTTATGTAAGTTATGAATCAATATATATGGATTCCACTCTCCCCCTCTGCAAGATCAATCAGCATAAAATTAAAGGGCTTCTAATCAAGGTAAAAGTTAGAAGCAAGCCTGAATTTGTATGCATTTTCTGTAGGAGTTGTATTAATTCTGAGGAGTTATAACAGCAACGTAAAATGGTTTGCACTTTCTCTTCTCAGTAGAAACATTCTAAAATCTAATGCTATGAGGCTCTGATCTGATGGCATCTAACAAGCTAGATAATAAAAAACCTAGGTTCAAAGGGCTTTTATTAGCAGAAGCTTAGTTCTGTTCATCACTGCTGTAAAGAGAATGAACTAATGTCTTCAGAGGCCCCCTTTAAACCAAGGAGCATGTTTTCGAAAAAACTTTTTAAGAGGAAAGATTTTATGCCTTAATAGAATTAAGGTGATTATCACAATGAGCAAAGAGCGCTTTGAACTTCAACCTCAGCAGAAAGAGAAGTAAGGCCTATCCTCTTCAGAAAAGACGCTAATTACTTCTGTAATGGCTTCTGCCTCTACTACGGTTGCTGAAATAACAGGATGGCACATTAAAGTGCCAAGTGAATAGTAATCACACCATCATTTTTGAGAGGGAGAGAGAAAATTTAATAATGCCTCTTAATGAATTTAAGTTTTGCCTTCTTTTTTTTCCTGCTCTCTTTCCTAATAGGATCACTAAGGGCAAGTATCTTTACTGTCTTACCTTTTCAAGCTCTTGTTTACAGTAGCTGTTAATTTATTATATCAAATATCCCCAATCACATTAGGAGCTACAGAACAATATGGGAGAGGAAGTGATTTCCTGGCCTGTTGGTGAAATGTAGTAGTTTGCCAGTTGGCACCATCAACCACAAGTACTTAATAAAATCATCAAAGGGGATTAGTCAAGCTTTTCTTAAGGGGGTCTTAAGACATGTCTGAAGCTTTCATGTAGTTGTTTATGGAGCTGCTTACATGTTCTTTGACAGGGTTCCTGCTGCAAGAAGAGTCTTTGTCATTCGACTATACTTAAACGCATTTCCCTTCTGTTTTGAAAGTCTGGATTTACATTTCAGTAAGAATATAACAAACTGGCAAACGTACACAGGTGTCTGCTACAAATTAGTAACGAACCTATTACATTTTTTTTTAATTAATGCATCTAAAGCAACAAGCATCCATAAAAACTGAAACACAAAACTGGCTGCTCTCTCTCTCGTTTTCATTTTCTCATACTGTCTTTTGTGCACAGTGATAGAATTGTAGTTCCCTGCCTTCAAAACAAATCCAACAAAAATAGCAAACAAGAAGAAACCTTGAAGAGGTGAAAAAAGAGAACACCACATCTGTGATTAAAATAAATAGGATGGAAAGGGAAAGGAAATAATCATTTGAAAAGTCATAAGGAGGAATGTATGCTTTCAATTAGCTTTCATGTTTCTGTTCCTTTCCCTTCTCTCAAGAACCAGTTTTTCTGCAGTAGCAGATGGACAGAGAATGTAGCCTGCAGCACCGTCCTGTGACAGCCCTATTCTCCCTTCCAGACACTGCTGTTAGTAAATAGATTTACACATTCTCCAATCTCCACACATCTTTCTGCCGAATAATTAAAAGCAGGATGATTAGTTTATTGAGTGGAAGGAGGAACTTTTTTATTGAGGTCCATCCACGATTTTATCAGGGCCAGCACTTTTACGGTTGTCATGAGGGTGCAGGCATCCAATTTTTCTTATCTGCCTGATTAATACAAACGCTGTTTCAGGACGCATTAATTAACAGATACAAATCTACGTTCTCATGGAAGGATCAATACAGAGAAGAAAAGAGGCATCAATGTGAATTTAGTGCTGATGATGGAGAAGGCACTCTATTGACATTTACGTGCATGGAAACTTTAAAGTTGCAGTAGAGCCCCTTTGTCCCTGTGATTTACAAATGACCATTTTTTTAGCCATAACAATGTTTCACACACTTCTGAGGGGTTTAATTAAGCAAAATGCAATAAAATCAGTTTTGATTAAAAAAAGTTTAACTTGCATTCACCTCCTTTCTATTTTTCTCAAAGCTCTCAACTTCCTTCTTTTATTTAAAAAGAAGAACAGGAGTACTTGTGGCACCTTAGAGACT